CCCCAAAACCCCAAAACCCCAAAACCCCAAAACCCCGATATAAGGATACAAAACTGGAGATAATATAATAAATATGAAGTTGCTCAACACTGTTCTCAGAGAAATCCTTCTGTTTCTCGAATTCAAAGACATTGTCAATTCCAACTTGGCCTTTGTCAACAAACAGTTCTTCCACAACATCGTGTAAGCAGGTCGCTTCATTGTTAGGCAAGACACAGAGTTGCTCAGGAGGATGCTTGACATCGCAATTCCGCTAGTGAAGGATTATGCCAGACAAGAGCAGTACTACGCTTCAGTCACTTCGGAGATACTGAGACTGAAGCATCAGCATCTCATGTGAGATGAAGAATTCAAAGAGTAAGACTTTCACTTTTACATCTAATTCTGTTGGTAGGCCAGAAATACAACTTCAAAGATTGTACGAATACTCTATTAAAGATCTGGCTTCATTTTTGCATCTGATGACCAAACAAGAATTCAAGATGCCACTTGTGTGCACCACCAGATCGAGTGGAGGAGCTGAAACATCTAGCGAGCAATGAATTTCAGCTTTCTTAGATTTAGGCACAGTTTATTACTCGGCAAAAGAATCCAAGTTTACAAATGGAGTTCTTTGAGTGACCGGAATATTCTTGGAAGAAAATGCAGCAAATGTAATTCGCTCAATACGTATTACTTATTATGATATAGGAGGCCGAAGCCAAACAACTGTTAGACAGAGTTATCCAGATCCAATCTGAAATTGGGCATCCTTCGATCGAAGAAGAAAAAGAAGATTATTCAAGAATAAAAAATCTTTTGAAATATGGGGATTGCGTATGTAGTATGAGTCTTTGATCTTTGGATCAAGCTAAACTAAGTTTTATTTGAAATCTCAGCATTGCTAATTATTTCTTACATTCTCTCACCTTGATCTTCTTATGCTTATGCTAGTTTTGGATTTTTTGGTTTTGTTTATTGGATCTTGAGATTATCCAAGATTTTTTACAAAAGGTCTCTCTTTAAATTGAGTTTCGAATCTTATTTTGAAAGCTGTATCATTATCACTACTCTTGGTCGAAAAGCTGTGCAATCCATCATTTAAATGCTACCTTCAATACCTCTATCTATTAAATTTCCAAATGATTTCTGAAATTTTCATGATTTCATTTTATAGACCATCGAAGAAATCCAGGGAGCAACAGAGCCTTCTAAGATTTACACGAACAAGTATCGGAACAGACTTGTGTATAACGTCCAGGACCAAAATTACCAGGTAAGACACCTGGCCATGACTGGGGTTTGGGGCAGTGAGATGTATTTAGGAAGAGAATACCAATATTGAGCATGATGTATTAGTACATAAGGAACTTATGAAGGATAAGTTGTTCTGTTGGAATGAGGTTCATGTAAGGGATTGGGGTTAAGTTTAGGTGTCGAAGATTAGAGAATCAGCAACATGTCCTATTCGGGCTTTGGTGGTCTTTACTCATGATTATCCCATCAGAGCTGAAGAACATCCGCTGGTTCACATTGTAAAGGATATGTATAAAAGTAGTAAAGTGGAATTGTCTCTAAATCCAATTATACCAGATGAGGATAACTTTGGTTCTGATGAAGATATGAAATTCATGATTGATGATCCAGAAAACTTAAAGGATAAATTTACTTCGAATAGCGAGTCTGGGCTAAATCCAAGGATTATTAATGCTCAAGATCATATGTTAGAGTTTGATCAGAATTTTTATTCATCAAAATTCAATAGCACAAGTCAAGGTAAAAATATGAGTTACATCTAGACTCACCAATGAATATCGAGACTCTAGAGAAAGCTATTTCAGAGATAGACTCAGACGGAAAGTATATGGAGATGCTCAATAAGCTCAAATCAAAGTTAGTAAATGTAGTGACATAATAGGGATGACTTCTTCAGAATTAGATTGGCAGCCATTGCTTTTGGTTTAAATGTAAGCTGAAAATAATCTTTATCTAGACTCACTACCACTCTTACACATTCCAAATGAAGGAGATAAAAACTGGGAGATTTGTCACAATTCTAGGTAATCCTTAATGATAAATGCATTTTTCTTAGCAACGCACCTTTAAAATTTAAACTTGACATGATGTAAATCACCACATAGGTCTTGAACAAACGGTTTCAGAACAGTTCCTAGGAGTCAACATGGATATTGGAGGAATTTTATTCACTGGAAACTTTCTTCCAAACCTAGTCAAGCCATTACCATAACTCTTCTGATATTCCCCTATCCCCAATCATCAATATCTCCCATTAACATCGGGGTTTTGGGGTTTTGGGGTTTTGGGG